ATTTTTGAACCCTTTAAACATATCTCACCTGTTTGAATTACCAAAGAGTTCCCCTTGGTACGTACCCAGTCCTGAACTGGTAGCTCTGGATCGTCCTACCATCCTTAATTGACTTGCACGTGCCACTCTTTGTAGCAAATTAACAAGAAATGAAAGCCTTCATTACTGTGAAGTCGGAGGTTGTTGCACAAAATTCATCCATCCCTTTCCGTTGAACATTTCTTTTATCGCAACAAGCTTTTAGTTTGAAAAGCATCTGTACATTTAATAAGAACACCTTTTAATGCCAATGTTATAGCTGCTTGGCGAACTGCTTTTGGATCGACATAATTTCAACGTGATGACAAGGTATATTTCCAATCCTGAAAATCTCAAGTTGATGATGGAATTGCTACGAGAGAAAAGCCGCAGTATACAATTCGAAGCGTTTCATGTGTTCAAAGTGAGTTCAGCTTTTCTTCGTTACTTCACCATGTGCTATGATGCGAATGGCATTTTCAGGTTTTTGTGGCCAATCCTAACAAACCTCGGCCGATTGCCGATATTTTGTTGAGAAATCGAGAAAAACTGGTTAGTGACGTGTAGCACTTTTCGGCTTGGTGACAAAATGTTTCGTCAAGGCCGACTGATTGTAAAAACTGGATGGATTATCTGGAACAAACGAGTGTTTTGGTAGTAGTTTACTCGCGTCACAAGTCGATCAATGGGGGGAAAAGCCAGGCATCCCGTGAAAATTCATGAGCCCCCAACTTCTTTATGGCTCAATAACGTAATCTTTGTGAAGAGTGTGAGCCATGGGGGACTGAGGCCACTAGTCAGTGAAAGGCACCATGCTCACTTTCAATCACTGGCCACGTCAGTTCCTCCTCAATCAGTTCTACCCTGAGACTACTGCGAAGTACGTATTCAAGTAGTTTAGTGGGCTGTGCTACGATAGTGTTTATAAAAATCTTTGTGGCCATGAGATTCGAGAAAAGCCGTGAGCTGAGGTTTCCCACCTTGGAATTTTATGGAAAGCTTTTTTTCAGTGATTATTAACATTATTTTGAGAGTTTCATGTAGTGTATGGCTTGCAAACCCCTTGGAAGTACTAGAACGTAATAGCTACTTCGAAGAAGTAAAAGGGGTAAAGGAAATGGTCCCTGCTCTCTCTTTACTCACAAAGAAGGATTCGCTATTTCGTTCTATTAATAAAATTTAAGGTCGATTTTCTTGCACAATTCCATACGGAGCGTACCGATGACGAGCAGTTTAACGATGAGAAGGCGTATTTAATCAAACAGATTCAAGAAATGAAAGCTTGAGTGCCTCAAGCGATGTCCCCCAAGTCGTTTTTGTATTACATGTAAGACTACTATTGTGTTTTATGCAATTTTTATATCTAAAGCGAGTGTTTTTATACCTAAAAGAGGTTGTAAGCAACATTAAAGCCTCTAGTCCCGTATTCGTGATATTACATTTTTCTAAAGAAGGAATTGATTTTGATTTCAATCCTTCCTATACAGTTCCTATACCCTTTTCCCCCATTTCCGTTTCTCTTCTCGTTTGTGCTGAGCTCCTTCTTGTCGCTCGCTTCTTGTGTGATTCAGTGTATCACATGAATCCACCACTGAATGCGCGTCAGATTTTCTCTTTTTCGGATATACTATAGGGTCAGCTATGATTGAGAGAGGTAACGTAGATAGTATAGTATCGCGTCATCATCGAATTTATAGCACATTTTGTGTTGATCTATACGGTTCATAATGAATATTTATGAGAATGAGAAGGCGAAGAACAACAGTCACACAACCAATATGAAAAATTCAGATGAAAAAAAATTAATTGTAGCAAAATGAGTACGATGACAGCGGTCGCGGGCAGCTCACATGAAGCCGATGGTCCAGAGCGAGCGAGCGAGCGAGCGAGCGACAACTTATACAATACCCCGATATCGATTGCCACCACGACTCGCTCGCACCACTTGCGTCCGGTTTCGATTAAGCCCTGACCTGCTGTCTTGCTTGCTCACTTGCATTGGCATTGCTCGGCATTTTCCCCACAGTAAGGTCCAACTAGCAGCATTATTTTTCGACAAAAATTCATTTGCAACGTTAAAACAACAGCAAAATCTGAAGTAGCCTTGAGATGAACGTGGAACGGTATCAGTGAATCTACCATAAACTCGGGTTTCAAAACAAAAATAGCTTCGAGATGAGTGAAGCAAAATAAGTGGACCAACCAACCATGCACGCGGATTCAATATAATCTTCTTCTCACATACATATTAGAGGAGAAAAAAAATAAAAGCAACAATGAGTTAACATCTCACAAAAAATAACTACAATTCGCAAGAGATGAGCAAAAGGAATAAGTGGCTACCGATGCTTTAATGGTTAAAGTCACCGAAACCAGCACCGCCGCCAAAACCCCTTCCAGATAACTCCAACTGAGAGTCGATCATCTAGAATTTTGATATAATGCCCTTGAATTGCTCAAAAAGCCTCTCTTGCTTTCTTGAGAGAAAACTAGCGGAAAAAGCAAAATGGAATTACTGAAGAGCAAGAAATCAACCTGCAAAAGTTCCTGCGGAGAAGGAACACGGCCACTTTCGAGCTTGCTCCAAATCTGTTCCTTATCCAGATAGATTTCAAATGCTCCAGTCGACATGAGCGTGCTCTCGACCATGTTTGTCAATAAAAACAGCATCATACAAGCTGAGATCTGAATGTAAACATGTGGAACTTGAGGTGAACGTTTTCCCACGCAGAATTGCTAGTCAAATTTTGCGCATATGCGAACTTTCATTCCTCCTAGCTTCAGACGAAAATATAACTTTGCTAATTGATTAAAATGATAATTGAATTAAGTTTGAAGTCACTAAATGTAATACCTTATTAGAGTGAGCCCATTGCATGACAGCAGGTTCACCGAGACCGAGGAGCTGGAAGGGATTACTGCCGCTAACAATAGCTGCGATAGCGGTTATTTTCAAAATATTGATTGCCTAAAAATAATAAAGGTACACATGTTTCTTTAGTAACATAAATATTCAAAATTTATGAGTAATAATTACATGTGCAAGATATTCCTTCCATTTTGCAGGTGGGTAATTGCTGCCCTCAATTGGCATATCGGGATATTTGTCACGTACTGCCATCGAGAATTGCTCGTACGCTTGTTTATAACCACATGAAACACTGAAGAACGTAAAATATGAGCGATTCATGTCCTATGTGATATGACCGTCGAATAAAAAGTAGTGCAAAGAAAATGTGGAATAAGGAGATCGAAAGAAAAATGAAAAAATCAGGCACAGCGTTCAAATAGGTTCGCAAAGCGACTTGAAAACATTTAGATATTGTGATTTCTGGTCAGAATTGAACGTCATTGCGATGAAACGGAACCCTGGATGACTTGGCATCAATCAATTCGTATCAATGATAGAAACGGGGAAATTTTCGGAAGAACTGTCGTCGAAACGGAGCACGTAGTTCTACAGTTAATGAAGGAATCATCACTATCAAGAGAAATCATAAATCATCGTACCAGAACAAAAACTTCAAAGTGGGAAGCGGCTTCCCTCCCATGAGAGGCTTCGGTTTAACATCACCAAATTCAGGACCATCTCGTAGCTCTATGTGTTCCTCCTTTTCGTTGACCTGACTTCAAAACAACAACAAATTTGCAAAAAAAGGATCGAAGGAAACCTTTAATTTTTGAAACTTACACACCTAAGACCTTCGTGCTGCGGTTCGTCACCAAATTCCTTGCGAAATTCTTCAGAATCGTGCTCATCTTCAGCATGCGCTGGAACTGCAGATATAAACATAACTGCTGGCTGTATTACGAAGACATATGTGAAAAGGTAAAGCTCAGTAATGATAAAAAGCATTCTGACCATGTAGAGAGTAAGTAATATGAGACAAACATTCTATTAATAAATGTTGAAATCTCAAACAAACCTTTCACAAACACCTCTACCATCGACAATACAAACAAGCCAAGAAGGAATATAAACCCTCCTCTACCCGTCATTTCTGTAATTGAAGAATGTAAAATGTGATAATTCAGTAGAACATTTGAAAATGGACATTACATCAAAGACGACCACAAAACTGTCTACTGGAATAAACAAAAACAAATCGCATCAAAGTTGTTATTGGTTCAGGGTCATCCCTGAAAAAGTACGTAAGGATACTGCGGAACAAGCAAGCTACAGTAAGCAAATATGCGATTGAGAAGCACGGGATTGCTCACTTCTTCATAGAAAGGTCAGAAAAGGAGAGATTCACAGTTCCCGTTATTCTTATTCTTTCCAAACGATGTAGGGAACCTCAGATGTCTTATGAGTGCCAAACTTTGTG